TGGAGAGAGTCCAGCGGAGGGCTACAAAGATGATTAGGGGACTGGAGCATCTCTCCTCTGAAGAAAGGCTGAGGGAGCTGGGCCTGTTCAGCCTGGAGAAGAGAAGACTGAGAGGTGATCTGATCAAAGTGTATAAGTATCTGAAGGGGGGGTGTCGAGAGGATGAGGCCAGTCTCTTCTCCGTGGAGCCCAGCAACAGGACAAGAGGCAATGGGCAGAAACTGAACCACGGGAAGTTCCATCTGAACCTGAGAAAAAACTTCTTCACTGTGAGGGTGGCTGAGCACTGGACAAGGTTGCCCCGAGAGGTAGTGGAGTCTCCTTCCCTGGAGATATTCAAAACCCGTCTGGATGTGATCCTGGGCAATATGCTCTAGAGGTCCCTGCTTGAGCAGGGAGGTTGGACTAGATGATCTGCAGAGGTCCCTCCCAACCTAAACGATTCTGTGATTCTGTGAAAATAACTTTCCATAATATCTCCAACTACACGCACATAAATACATAAATATGTATTAATACACATAAAACAACTTCAACGCATAAATAAAATAAAATTTGCAAGCTTTTTTTATTTGCAATAACCCATCATTATTTCAGAAATGAAGTCAGATCTGAAGGTGGCCATTTATATGTGGGAAATATGATAAAAATAAGTTAAAGGTATTCTGCTCTGAATTTGGGATATTACAATATCTTGAGATAGTTTATGGGTGTTTTACGTTCTTTCAAATATATGAGAGTGGTTTACTAATCCTATCATTAAGACTTTTTAAATATATGAATTTAAAAATGTAACTATCTTTTTATGGATTACTGATGATGATTTACCTCTTAACTAGGGTAGAATATAAGCTACACCAATAATTAGGTGGTGCCCCTTTGAGTTTTTACATTAATTTCAGAAAATATTTTGAAATTATAGGTAGCTATAGTTATAGGTTAGGTCTCAAACTTTTTATAGACAATTCATGTAAATAAGCTTAAGTTGTGGAGGAAAAAAATCCTTTTCATTTTATTCATTCATCTTGGAGAAATAAGTATAATACATATTCATTAATATATGGAGATTTTACTATGTTGGCACTTCTGCATCTCTTTCTAGAACTTTTTGCTGTCTTGCATTCTTCCTCTGTTCTAGATCTTCAGAGCAGAAGACTATTCCAAAGAGCAAATGGCTGTGATTCAAGATAATTCATCTGATCTGTGTCACTAGCCGGGAAAGAAGTCAACAGAAAAAGGAATAAAGGAGAAGTATGGAGGAAATATGTGAGGGAAGGAAATGAGAAAGATTTTGAAAGCAGTGGTTATATAGAAACTAAAGATGGTCTTGAGACTCACTATTTGATCTGAAAGTAAATTAAGCTTTAAGCTAAAGTCCAGTGCTTGGGTTTGACATTTAAGAAGGCTAAGGTTCATTTTAAGATTACCTACTAGAAATTACAGCCTAAAATACTGAGAACCTTGTGAGGCTATATCCTTTTTATGAAACTTAAGGAACATATACAGAATGAAAGAACTGAATCTGTGAGCAAAACTGGACTGGAAGTCTCCAATAAAGGATTTGTAACATCATAACATCTATTCCTTTTAAAAACACACTTGAACCATTTCTGCTGCTTACTCATGGGTTTGGACTGTTTCTGTTCAGTCATGACTATATTTTTATGATATGTACAATAAATTCATTATTAGACCAGGGGAGATCAAATGAACTTTAAAATAACATTCTTTGTTTTTAAATTCTAGTCTTCTGTTTTTCAGTTAGAAATCCAGATGGTCAGATAAAGCTTTATTGTAAAGGGACAGATACCATTCTGTCTGAGTGACTTCATTTGTCCAATGAAGAGTTAGTATCTTTGACACCCAGCTATCTTGGTGTAAGTGCTTCTACTGGAGATATTGATTTAGAACCCCCTTTAAATATATGCATTTGTATGCAAGATAAATTTAAGTCTGTTCACACTTCTCTAACTTTCAACAGAAAAAACTTAGGTGCTCTAAATTGTACGTGGAGGCAACATAAGTTTATATTGTAAAACTTTGGGCATCTGAATTAGATGCTTAAAATTACACGGTGTGAGTATTCTTTTTAGTGGAAACGTACACTTAAAGACTGCTCATAAATGCAGGATGATTTTCCAAATGGGCTTGAATGTTCTCTTGCTGTAAAGACAGCCAAATGTTCCAAGTATTTTGTGTCCCCACAGCTGACTAGAAAACTAAATCTACTTAAATAATATGGGTTAGAGATGCTACTAATATTTGAAACAATTGAAATATTTAGTCTATAAGGTAATTCATATCTTAGAATCCATTACTTGAACTCAGTGGAAGTGTGTAAATGTGAATGCAAATTATCCAGTGTCATGTGTTTATTAAAAATAAAAAGTATACTCTGCTTGATTTCAGGGGTGTAACCTAATGTGAGCTTAAAGGGAAACTGGATAAAATTCTGATTACTTTCATTTATTTTTTTAAGATTTTATGGTCTTTATACATCTAATACAAACCATTCCATGATTTTTAAAGTATGCCTGTAACATTAAGTATACATTATGATGGTTTAGTAATATTGATTACAAACATAACTCTTTTTTCCTATCTGTGATAGAGCTTTCTTGGCTTTCTCTTAATTTTTTCCAGAAGGGCAACATGTTTTATATGAAAGCAAAGATGGTATCATAAGCATCTGATCTTTTTTTTTTTTTTTTTTTTAAACAGTTGCTGAGACCTTGAGTTTCCATACTTATTCAGTAAGCTTAACAGGGGATATATGTCTGTGTGTGTGTGTGGCCAGGGTACAGCTGCCATCTGGATAAGGAAACAATGCAGTGGTATGCCTGAAGCCACAGTGTATTATGCAGCATACATGTGCTAAATTAAAGGATGATGGTTAGGAGGATTCATTCCTTTAACCCTTTTCCATCAGTGTGCACCTGTGCTTTTATAGACATATCCACACATATATGCTCTCTCTGAATGTTTTTTCCAAAGAACTGCAGTTTTCCCTTTCTGTTTTGTTAATTCAGTTACAAAGCTTTGTTACTTTGTTTGCATCACATCAGTTTGACTTTCATGTTCCTCTTTTTTCTTCCGTTGTAATATCTGATACTAGAATAGCGAATGGTCTAGCTGTATTGTTGTTAATAGTAAAGCACACAACAATTTGTTTTGTAGACATATTTTTAACGTGGAAAAACATCCTTGAAATGCTTTTATGCTTTAACAGTAAAACTGTTCATTATCTTTGGACTTTAAAGAAATTCAGTTGCTGAAATGTTAAATGGACATAACTGTTATGGACTATGCAGTATGTTTTGCTTAATTAAAATACCTTATGTGAAGTTCAACACAGTAAATATACAAGTTTTGAATCCCATTACATAACTCATTTCTTGAATATCAATATTAGTAAATATCTGTGGATTTTTGAGTCCTGTGGTCTTCCCTAAGACCTTCTTCAGTGCAATCTAAATTGGCATGAGTCTTTGAAATATCGGTGCAAAGAATCATTTTTTTTCACCTCCAGGTGATGAATCAGCATCACATCTGTTTCTTAAAAAGTTTTTGAATTCTTACCTGCTAAAGTGTATGTATACATATCTATTTGTACTGGCCAGTATTTTCTTAGGTGTTAACTAAAGCTGAGAATGACTTCAGGGCATATTGTAAGAACAAGGCATAGTTCATTAGGCCCTGAAACAGTAACCTGGAATTAGTTTTATTGCAGGTTGTTTTATATCTTTTCTAAATACTTAATAATTAATTTCTTGCAGTTCTCCTAATATCTATAAGTTTGGGCATCAGACTTGTGTTGATGACTTAATGATGATGTCTAGGGTGAAGTTACTCCTTTTGACTTATAGTCCAGTGCCCATTTCATTCCTTTCAAAGTTAACGTTTCTCCTATGTAATAGTTATGATGCACATTAAGTTCTATCTGACTACAGTATTTAATTCTTAAAAGTAATCTTTCTGATTTAGATATAACAGTAAAATAACATTAGAAACTATGAGGATTTTCATATGTAGATGTAAATACTCTAGGTAATCTCAATTTTCTTTTACTTTGAATAAAAATGTTTAATGCTATAAGAAGATAGGCCTGAAGCTTTAGCCCCAAATAAACAAACCTGAAGAGTTTAAATGTTCAGGCATGGTCTGTAAGAGATATCTGGGAATAGCTTTAGCCTAGTGGCTCCCTAACCAAGACAAGTGAAGCAGTGTCAGGAGAACAGTGTGTTATCATGATTACTTTTATTGTTTCATATTACTTTTATTGTGTCATATGTGTATCTCTCATGCTCATGTGATAGGATTTTGCAGAAGAGGGTCTTTGGACCTTAGCCCTTGCATATAAACCTTGACTGGAGCTTCAGGAAGTAAGTACTTTAGTCGTACTGGGATGAGCATCTTGCTGCAGCATATGAAGAGATCAGAAGAGACATACAGGTATGTTCTTAAAGAGACAGCACAGGGAAGATAACCTAAAAAAACACGTATTGTAGAATTACCAGTTTTATGTAGTATTGCAGATACTGTGGTTGTTTATATTGTCTGTTGTTTCTGATATTGTGTGATTATCAAGCCTAGTTTAAAAAAAACTATATACTGAATGTCTTTGAATTAAGATATTGACAACAACCAGTAATATGATTCTTTTGTACTTTAACAGACTTACTTTAAATAAGAATGAATCTTAACTGTTTTACTGCTTTAAATAGATGGAAAAAGTGAACATTTTGAGGTGTCTTGCACTCTGTACGGCCCCACGGTTTGCGTGCTGCTTGTTTGCCAGTACAGTTCTAATTTCTCTACCCTTGCACAAAAATGATGTTAAAAAGATGATATTGATGATACAAAAACAGTTTCAAGCATTGGTCAGCCTTAACTGTCATTGCCTAAGCAAGGTTTGAGCTCTACCTCCTTCTAAATGCAATCTTTAATTACTTGTCTACAGTTTTTGTTTGTAGGATGCTCAAATTATTAATTTTAAAGGATAAGGCAGTTCCAGGGTTGAATTGTTTCTTTTTTTAATATGCAATACTGCTACTTCTATGGCTGCACCTTATGCCTTGCAAAAGGAGAAAGAAGCGTAAGGAATGAATCAGGCAAATACAGAAACCATCTCTTGATTAAGCCTTATTTTTGGGTTAGTGTGAATATAAATTCCTTAGTATAAGTATTGATGAGATACTGTAGTGATAAACCATAGGAAACTTTGAAGAAGGAAATAGAATATTCTGTTTTCAGAACAGGTGGACCAGTGATCAGTAACTAATGTACTTGCATATTCATTGCTTCACTGTCTAAGTCCATTGCCATTTTCCATCCCACAGTGATTTAGGTGAGGTTCTTATCTTTCCATTTCAGTCAACTGTCTTCTCTCCTCAGAAAGGTGATGGGGCCCATACGCAATATAATTAAGGCTGTCTGTCCCTTTTCAGCATGTTATTCGGGCCCACCT